TAATATTTGCATAATACAATCCGGGGGACAATATGGGTAATTTATCCAAATGACTTTTCTTACCCGATATCATTTTTGTAATATTGAGATACTCTTTATTACCATCATTAGTTGTTCCAACATGATACCCGTTAGAATGAATATCCTTAAAACTTAATAAATTCTTGGTGATTTGGATAAAAATAATGCATCACCAATTGTAATTACTTTCCCTTGTGGTAATACTATATTCTCTCTTCCGGAGCCTTCAATCATTTTTTCATTACCCGTTATTGCATTAAAATTTGCTTCTCTAATTGATAAGTAAGCAAAATATTTTTCAATATTAAAAATGTTATGATGTCGTCACAATCTTATCAAAGTAATAATATGTAGTTTTGTTTCATGAGATATGATGTCGTCACAATCTTATCAAAGTAATAAAATAATGCTTTGTTCTATTTATTTATTGAAGAGAAATATGGATATTCGCAAAAGAAATAAGGAAGATATATGTCTTGCAGACAATGCAATAACACATACCATTTTTAATATTGAAAAATATTTTGCTTACTTATCAATTAGAGAAGCAAATTTTAATGCAATAGCGGGTAATGAAAAAATGATTGAAGGCTCCGGAAGAGAGAATATAGTATTACCACAAGGGAAAGTAATTACAATTGGTGATACATTATTTTCATCCAAATCACCAAGAATTTATTAAGTTTTAAGGATATTCATTCTAACGGGTATCATGTTGGAACAACTAATGATGGTAATAAATAGTATCTCAATATTACAAAAATGATATCGGGTAAGAAAATTCATTTGGATAAATTACCCATATTGTCCCCCCGGATTGTATTATGCAAATATTAGAATGATTTAATCATATGTTATTGAAAATAAAAGGTATGATAACACCTTTAATGTTTGGCATGGCCGGTTAGGCCATCCCAGATCAGTTATGATGCGTAGAATAATTGAAAATTCAAGAGGTCATTCTTTGGAAAACCATAAGATTTTTCAAGCTAATGAATTGTCTTGTGTTGCATGCTCTCAAAGAAAAATTAATTTCTCTTCCATCATTGGGTATGAAAGTCCTAGTTTCTTAGAAATAAGTTAAGGGGATATATTTGGACCAATTCATCCGCCATGTGGATAATTTAGATATTTTATGGTTTTAATTGACGCGTTAACTAAATGATCACATGTGTGCTTGTTGTCTAGTCGTAATTTGGCTTTTGCAAGATTACTTGCATAAATAATCTGCCTATGAGCACATTTTCCCAATTACCCAAATTAAGAAAATTTGAATTGATAATGTTGGAGAATTTACATCATAAGCTTTTAATGACTATTGCATGTTGATTGGGATAACTATTGAACATCCTGTTGCATATGTGCTCTTAATTAATTGCATATGTTCATATGTTCCTTTGGGTAAAATCTTTAATTAATTGCAAGACTCGTTGCACAAGATTTTACCCAAAGGACCAGAATTGATTATGAAGAAACGTACACTCCTTTGGTTGATGCAATTACATTCTGTTATCTAATAAGTTTGGCAACACATGCAACACTGGAGAAATCCTAGAAGGGTTTAAGGTGCCAGAAGCACAAACTTCTAATTCTCGAGAAGTATATTCAGTAAAATTAAATAAATCTTTGTATGGATTGAAACAATATTGCCATATGTGGTTGAATTTTTTAAGTACATTTTTGTTAAAAGAAGGCTACAAAAAAGATCCATTAAGCCTATGTGTACTCATAAAAAGATCCGGATTAGAATTTATCATAATTGTTGTTTACATAGATGATTTGAACATAACTGGAACTCCTGGAGAATTGGAAAATGACACTTCTTTTTTCGAAAGAAAAATTCGAAATGAAAGATCTTGGTAAAACGAAATTTTGTTTGGGTCTTCAAATTGTGCACACCAAAAAACTGGAGTTTTTGTACATTAATCCAATTATCTAGAAAATGTGCTTAAGAGGTTTTTATATGGATAACTCACATCCATTAAATAACTCGATGGTGGTAAGGCACTTATATGCCAAAAAGGACCAATTTCGGACTTGTGAAAAACATGGAAAACTTCTTGGTCCCAAAGTACCATATCTTACTGTTATTGGTGCACTAATATATCTTGCTAATAATACAAGACCTGATATATCTTTAGTTTCTGCTTATTCTAACCATGCAGAGATTATAGCAATTCATAAGGAAAGTCATGAATGTATTTGGTTAAGAAAGTTAACTCAACATATTCGCAAGAATTGTAGTCTGACTTCTAACTGGGATGTTCCAACCATACTATATGAAGATAATACGACTTGTATAGCTCCATTCAAGGAAGGATTTATCAAAGGAGACAGATCAATCATATATCACCCAATTTCTTTTTCACTCATGATCTTCAAAAGGAGTGTGGCATCAACATCCAAAAAATTCAATCAAGTAACAACTTTCCCGATTTGTTCACTAAAGCACTTCCTACATCCAAATTTGAAAAGATGGTACGGAACATTGCTATGCGACGCTTCAAGGAAATCAAGTGATGTGCTGATTAGGGGAGTTTGAAACATATTGTACTCTTTTCCTTAACTATGTTTTTCCCACTGGGTTTTCTTAGCAAGGTTTTTAACGAGACAATTTTTTCCATTATCTATTATTAGTCATGTACTCTTTTTCCTTAATAAAAGGTTTTACCCATGAGGTTTTACTTATTAAGGTTTTAATGAGGCATGATACAATCGTCATTAAGGGGGAGTGTTATGAAATATTAGTTTGTAAATGACCATTGAATTCCCTATTTCTCCCATAACTCTGTATCATTATTTAGCATTAGTAACAACCATTTCAATGTGTTTTATAAGTGTAATAATGGACCATCATAATGTGCATTCATCTTTCATCTTATTTTGGTTGTATAAATAGTGAGCCATATTTATTAGAAAGTTGATGATTTCATCAAAAATATTTGAATAAAAGTTCTTTCCATCTCATGTCTTTCTTTAGTCTATAATTTATCTTGTTATTTGATCATATTTTATAACATTAAATAAATTCTTATATATTCTTATATGCTTATATTATTGGTAAATTCTAAGACTTTTTGAGTTAGAACATATTTTGCTAACCAAAAACTCAATTTTAAAGTCTTTATTTTCAACTTATTTATTAAAATGTATGTTAAATTATGTTATATTTTTAATACAAATTGAATAATATGTTATAACTGATGACATCCAGACTAAGATTTATCTTTTACCATACTTGAAAATTTCTAATTTATTAATTATTACAAATTAATATAACACTTTTCAATTACATTATACTTATAGAATGTTTATTGGTTATCAAGTAATGGATATTTATTTTACGAGAACAAAATAACATTTTAATAAATTAAATAGCTATTAAAAGTTGAAACATAATTTTTCAAATTCCCAACTGATACTATAATTAACTATTTTTTTTTATTATCTCAAAAGTGCAATACTTTGATTATATAAATTCCCATATGCGTTTATATTGTTGATAAATTTTAAAAATATTATATTAAATAAATAATGTATCATTTTTGTCGAGATAAAGCTTCTTTTTTCTAACAAAACAACTCAATCTTAGAAGTTATATTTCAACTTATTTACTCAAAGATTTGTTAGATTATGTTATTTTATAGTACAAGTTAAAATGGTAAAATAAAAGAATAATATTAAAAGGCATATAATTAAATTAAAAAAATTGATCAAAAAAAAGTTAAGATTGTATTCGAAGAATTACAGCATCTAAATCATTTATAATTATAAAATATGTATTTTATTGGAAAATCCGTCAACTTTTTCAAATATTTTAATTAGTGATTTCTTCCAAAACTCTATACAATTTTAAAACTATATAAATTCTATATGGACTTTAATATCTACAAAATTTTAATAATAATGAGTGGTTTTTGAAAGTATATATTTTATACAGTTTTAATATTAATTAATAATAAAAATAACTAAAAATAACATAAAATTATAAACCATATAATGTTACCTGAAAAATGAATGGTTTAAACTTTAAAGAGTCAACATGGTCGAAATTAAATATTGTCAAATAAGTAAATGCTAATTAATTAATTATAACAATAGTTAAATGTAATACTATTCAAGAATCATATATAATTTATGGACAAATGTCATATTAGCCCATGGAACTTTTCGTGTTTGTTTTAAAAGGTCACTAAATTTTTTTTTTTTTGTACATTTAAGGAATGAAGTCCGAATTTACCGTTTTAAAAGGTCCTTATTTGACCTGATACCGGATAACCAGGTAAAATCTGGTCCTCTACCCCTCTTCACGTCGTTACCCTCTTGAAACTCGCGGCCATCGTCTCCCTCATTCCTTCCTTCATCTACCTTCTAGGGTTCTTTGGCATCGATTTCGTTCAATCCTTCATCAGTACCTCACATGTGGACGAGGACAACTTGGGGACTGCCGGAGAGCGGCTTCGATTCGACGGGAGACGTTAGAGAGAAAATCGGGGAGGTCGTTATTAGGGTTACCACTTGAAGGATTCGATTACAATTCGATATTGGGGCAGTGTTGTGAGATGCCTATTGGTTATGTTCAGGTACCTGTCGGAATCGGAGGACCTTCGTTGTTGAATGATGGCGAGTACATGGTGCCCATGGCTACGACAGAGGGATATTTGGTTGCGATTTGCTCGACTTCAAAGCATTAAATGCTCAATCGTCGGAAAAAATCTCTACATCAGATTCACATGTAGCACAAGTGTTGCAATGGGGATGAACACGGTGTCAAAAGGCGTCCAAAAAGTTCTAGATTTTCTTCAAATCGACAAAATCGGGTTTCATTCGATTTCAAGCCCTTAAGGATAGAAATTTGTACAAAATCTGAAATTTGAAATTGATGTATAACAGTTTTAATCTCAAGTAGCATTACAATGAAACTGATGTACAAAGAATCTGAAATCAACAATTGAAGCTCGGATTAACAAAAAAAGAAGATGAATTGGATTGTTTCGATTCACGTTTCTGCTGCTCCCATTCGCGTTTCTGGTACACCGATTCACGAAGACGATGAATTAGATTGTTCCGATTCACCACAAATGATTCTAAAGTGGGAAGTACTTCAATTTAGTTTTGCGGATAAGTTTAGAGAGGGGAAACCTGTTACAGGGAGGAGGTTGGAGGAGATGAGGCTACATTCTGAGATTAAAACCTGTTATAGTGGGTCAAGTGACTTTTTTAAGAGGTCAAACGATAGTTTATTCCCTTAATGTACAAAAAAAAAAGTTGGGTGACCTTTTAAAATAAACACGAAAAGTTCGATGGGCTAATATGATATTTGCCCATTTATTCATGTGCAAGCTGTGGGTAAAGCACTTAAGTAATATTATTTTAATAGTTGTAATTTTATATATTAAATTAGTGTAAATATTATCATTTCATGATATTAATGTCAGTCATTTTAAAAAAACATATATTTGTTACGATTACAATTATATAGTTTTAACTTGCGCAACGAGAACATGAAACGTTAGATAGAACAGACTAATAAAAATAATATAGTAAAAGTTAAATATTTATCTTCAACCACATATACAACCATATAATATATATATATATATATATATATATATATTAAAAGTTAAATATTTATTTTCAACCATATATACAACCATATAAAAAAAGGACGCAAACCTAAGTTAACAAACTTTAAATCTTTATATAAGCTTTAGATTAGGCAGCAAATAATCCATGTATATGATTCTTCAACCAACCTAGGGCAAATCCGTGATCTTGCATTATGAATAGCGATGTAAAGAATTACAGCTAACAAATCTTGGATCATGATTTTCAAGTATGATTAAGGCATAAATTCATATGCTTTAAAGGGCAAACAAAAAGACTCGACTTTGCTTCTATGGCTTTAAAATTATCAGTAAAGTATATTAGAAATATATATCTTAAGTTTATACATGGGGACATACTTGATCTTTAATTTATAAAACTACACATATTTCATCTTTTCATTCAAATAACTATAGACTTTCTAATCTTTTTATCAATAACTTAAGTCTTAGGCCAAAACGAGATGGGCTTTTTCTGAATAGTCATGTTGGACTAAAATATGTCCAAGGAGAAAATTCAGAAATCGAAAAAGACCAAATACTTAAATGCTGTCTATTAATCACAAACTTGGGTCCAACTTTGCTTCACTGTTCTTCATTTTTAATACTTTAGATATTCAACAAATAATTATATATTCTTAATGAACTATATGTAGAATGAAGCATCACAAAGTAATTTTAAATATTTTAAGTCATCTTTTATTTCAAATATAGCTTACCCAGCATACCTTAAAAACAAAAGTAAAAATAACAAATATTTAAATATTCTTCGTGTTGTATATCGCAGCTAGAAATCTGCATCCATTTTAAAGACGAAATTTTGACCACCATCTTGAAGGTTTGACATTACTGACGCCTTTTGATAATCCCCCACCCTTCTCTCAAAGAAGTTCGCTTTTCCTCTAATCAATCATCATAAAAACAAAGACAAAAACAATTTTAATGTCAACTCTTATGAAATCTTTTAACAGTTATGACACTGCGTTTGACGTGTATGGGACTGGGACCGGTTTCTATCGCATCCAAATTAAAATGTTAAACAAGGTGGAGGCAAAGACTCGCTCTTGATATTTTGTCTGTGCAAAAGACGTATATGCCCTCCCATGGTCACGAGAAAATGATTCTTAGGACCAATACTTACTGAAGTGAGATGAACTCCATCCAATCAAATGGATTTTCTACATTGTACTTCCTTTGACAACCCAACGCAACCTGTACGCATTAGAAAATTAACCAATGAAATTATAAAACCACATGACGGTCCCGTTTGTTACACTAGCCAGGACAAAATAGAACAGGTTGTCCTGCTTTTCGACTATATTGGACAGTGACTGTGACTAGACTAGACCGATGTCAATAGAATCAAAAGTATAATTTTTTGTCCCATCCAAAAAGGTGAAACATGGTGGGAAACCGACTCGCTCTCAATCTCTCGTATGAACAAAAGACGTAAATGCTCTCCACATCCTCATCATGTAAAATTTCCCTAGAAAGCTTGTCAAGTCTAGTCCACATGGACCGGTACCGGTCAATAACGATCTGTTGGACCAATCCATGGAACAGTGGTCTGATGGCCGGTCCAGGGAACGGTACCCTGGACTGGTCAAAAGAATGGCTTTGAAATAGACGGGAGTACTATGGCAAGAAAAAATAATCATACCAAGAGACGGTCAGCAACAAATTTTATGTATTGGCTCATAAGTGTTGCATTCATGCCAATTAGTGCACACGGGAGGGCTTCACATACAAACTCGGTCTCTATTTCAACGGCTTCTTGCACGATTTCATATACTTTTTGCCAAGGAAGCTGCTTTCGTAATAAACTGTAAATCAAGATTATTTTATAAGGATTATGTTTTGGTTGCTCAAAAAGTCAAAGGGAAATTACCTGTGAAGGAGACAAGCAAAGTCACAATGTAGACCTTCGTCTCTAGATATGAGCTCATTTGAGAAAGTCAACCCTGGCATTAATCCCCTCTTCTTTAGCCAAAAAATTGAACAAAAGCTACAAATTAAGAAAATAAACCAAACGAATTAATACAAATAAAATAAGAACTAATGTATAAATATGTTTTAATAAAATTATATTTTAAATATTACTTTGACATTTCTCGTTTATAATGATTATATGGTTAATTTTTTTTAAAGAGAATTCACTGAAAATCAGGTAACTCAGGGGCAATTTCGGAATGTTAACATTCAGTCACATTGCGTGCTAGTCTTATCAAAGGCTATACGGACAACTAGTGTAGTTTGTATGGTGACTTCTTATAATCATATTTTATATCTTACAAACAATTTAAAATACTGTACCTTCCTGAGAAAAATATTCCTTCTACACATGCAAACGCAACAAGTCTCTCTGCAAATGAATTGGAGCTGCATAGAAATTAAAGCAATGCAGTTATTAAAAAAACCCAAAACAAAACAAAATCAATGGTATAACAATCGAATAATATATTTTTGGCACAAAATGAAAAAGTTCACTTGCAGAAGCGATATCATAGAGTTCATAGGCAAAAAAGAAGATCTTGTAATGTTCATAAACCTAAAAAACATCTAAAACTTGTTGACATTGTGATTTATCTTTCCCATGTTGACAATAGGACCCATTGGTGGGGCCCAAGGTCCTCACCAACCTGTCCCACAACTGATATGGGAAGGTAAATCACAAGAAAGGTGATGTCAGCTTGCTTGCAACACAAGAAATGTTTTTCGATTGCATTAAACAAGGAAATTACCTTTTAATCCAATTCAAAGCCCAATTGGCTTTTCTTGCAACACAAGGAATGTTTTCAATTGCATTAAACAATCTGTATTTTTCCTTGGGATCCTTGATTAATGTTTCTAATAGCAAGCTATACATCTCTACAAAACAGTATTAAAAATCAAGGAGATAGATAATATTAAGCAAAAAAATATTTTATATTAACTAAACTTCTAAGCTTAAAGAGACTCACCCGAATGTACATTCTCCATTGCAATTTGAAATCCATAAAATGCACGAGCCTATCTCAAGAATAACCCAAATCCAACAAATCCCACAATTCAAAAATGATATTTGAAAAAAAAAAAAAAACATTTGAGAAAATAAAGACATGCTAAGGGAAATTAGGGAGGAAAAAATGAGGGAAATTTTGAAAATTTGTTAACTTAACAGTTAGGACTTAATGGTGAAAACTTCATTTTTGATAATTTTTCCTGTGAAGTCGTTTTTTCTGTATCAAGTCAAAACGAAACACCCTTATATAACTAACCGGATTAACGTGTTGTTTCTTTTTGGCTTAACAGACTAAATGGGACATTCTTACTTATATACTAGTGCTTCTTTTCGACTTAATATAAACAGATGGACTTCATGTTATACATTAAGACATCATTGTCTTTATTCTTCATCACTTCTACACAAAAGGGTAAAATGGACATTTTTTCATATTGAGGTAGTTCATTTAGTCCATTAAGTCAAAAAAGGACTACTTTACCTCAGGTATCTGAATGTCGTTTAAAAATCTTGCAGCAAGATTTTCCAAAACAATTCCATCTGATGCAGCAAAAAAGGCTAAGATATGACTTATGAACTGCTTTTCTGATTCAGTCAACTTTTGCCATTGTTGTACGTCTAAAGAGAGATCAACCTCCTCAGCTGAACCCATCAAATATACAGAAAAGAATCATTAATGTGTATACATATAAAAGAAAATTACATCCATTTAGATCCAAAATAATAAATAATACTAATAATTTTCATAGAAAATTACATCAGTTTAGTATTCATAGTTTATGAATTTTTAGATTACAATGGAAGAAAGAATTTTATTTGAGACATCTGTTTCATTCTTTTTGACATAATTTGATTTCTCCTTCAAGTGTGGACAAATTTGGGTTTTCTTTCATTTCAAAATATAATAAAGTTAGTCTCTCCGAAATTCAAATTTATATGGTTGTAGTTCTTTATTTGATCATCTATGTACGTTTTGTATGTAGATTAACATGATTGATATATTGAAAACCAGTATAACAAGAAAACATCATACAATCGTAATAAGAGGAACGATTTAAAGCAAGAAAAGCACCCGAATTATGGAATTAAACTACCAAGAAACAAAGAGAATTACTTTTTATGCTGATTAAAAAAAAAAAAAAAAAAAAAAAACAGATGTACCAAAACATTATGCAACCATCGAATCTCTACGAACTAAATTCAAGAAAAAAAACAACCCATGTTATAAACTATATAAAACATGAAGAAATTTAGTTACTCTTCTGTAGATTATCAGAAAGAACTTAGATAATCATAGTAAATAATATAATTCAAAGCAAGAAGAAACACCGAATTTATAGAATTTCTTGAATTGCATAAAAGAATCGTAAAGGATTGATAAAATTCGAGTTGATAAGCAATATTACCAGTCCAAATACTGGCTTGTGCTTTCTTGTACATCTCCCAAAGTTGATGGTATTTAACAGGAAACATACAAAACCTCTGGTTTTGCTCCATTAAAATTGGTTCTTCTTCTTCTTCTCCATTGAAGTGCTCTGTTTCATTCTTCAGAGAACCCATTTTTCTATCTCTGTTCTGGATAACTGTGTGTTATATCTGGTAAATAGGCATGAAAAGTTGAAAACCCTACAAAAACCCTTCAGAT